GGGTTTCTGTAGCAGGTGCGTATTTGTAGATTTTGTAGAACAATTTTTAATTTTTTTTTTTTTTGTTTATTTTTTTTATTTTCTATCCCTGATGTTTCGTGTCGATGCACAGACAAGTCTTTTTATCGTTATTAATTTTTTTTGTGTCATTATCGACCACCACGCATACCATCGTTTTCGACTCACCTCTGTTCCTTTGTTTTTTTTTTTTATAGACATTGCCACAGTGCAGACTATCTTTTGTTTTTAATCGTAACAAGATCACGATCGAGAATCATCATTCTGTGTCGTGGCGATTAATTACTGCTCCTTTTATGTAAAACCTGTAGCTAGCATGGGAAAATGTAACATTTGGCTTGTGTATATACTCGAAACCACCCCTTGTACGAGCAGTAATTAATTATTGTAAATGTCATGTTGATACTTGATATCGAGTTTTGGCTTGTCATGGTACATACGAATTAATATTATTTCTTTTTCCAGCTTCTGTAACGATTTTGTCAGAGTTTCATACAGATCTTGTGTCTTTGGTAGAAAATTTTTATTATTTTTCATGTTTTCTTTTTTTTTTTTTCGAAATTCTTTCACTTTATTTTGAATCAGTAGCCACCAGTCGAAAGTTTCCGAAATTTTTTAACATTTAGCCTTCTAGATTCCATTGTCAGAAGGAAATAAGTTGCATTTTGAAGGCACGAGATCCTTGGGATTTTTTTTTTAACTGATTTCTTTAGAAAACCGTCGTCCTCTTTTGTTTCAGGAACGGAAGTATTACGTTCGTGCGCAGTAAAGGGATACCACATAAGAGAGCTATACGCGAAACGATAACGCCAGGATGATAAAAGGGCTCTGCATTGTTTAGTTGAAACATTGACTGATGTCCATTCTATCTGAATCGTTTAACGTATAACAGCACATTCCAGCTGCTTTTCTCGATCAATCAGACGCACCGTAAAAAAAGAAGTACTTCATGTTGCTGTTCGTGCTCGACACACGGGACGAATTATTATGGCTTTGTGCTAGCGACTGATCGTTTTGGAATAGAAAAAGGAAAGGAAAGAAACACAATGTCTGCAAGGCGAATTGGTCTATCTTGCTTTGAACGTGCATCTGAATCAAAATTCGAATTCAAGTTAATCATATTTCTTTGCGTTCAATGTCTTTTCACTCGAATAACAGAAGAGATTCGTTGCTACAAACTTACATTGACCTAACGGAAAGAAATAAATACCGCGATGTATTCAATTCTTTTCTCGTATTGTACAGAAAAAGCGACGGACAGTTTTCTTCTCCTAGACACTATACGTCCATACTTGCATCTACATGCATCTAATCAGGCCGTACACCCGTATACATATCCCTTTCGTTAATTACTATTATCATATTCGAAGTAACATGACAACGTGTAATCATTCCACGAGCTCTAGCTTTTTTCGATCGACGCTCGGATAAAATCCGAAGAAAAAGTGCAGTCACATTTAAACATAGGGGGAACATTTGTATGTCGCTTAGCATTATTGAATGTATTCTTACACACACAGAGACACACATACACCGTGCACGTTAGAATAATGCGAGTATATTCATCGTCATATTAATGATTGTAAGAAGATAGAAGGGGGAGAACCGCGCTTTCCCTTTCGTTTCTGTCTCAGAGTTCAGTTATGCAGATGCTAACGTGTAAACAGTATAGAGGAAAGAGCCAATCTGACTGGCGACGTTTGATTTCTCTATCCTATTTATAATTGTACACTTAAGTACTTACGTATTCGCAGATATTTAATTTATTCTCTATGCGTTCGATATGATATGTTGTATTATAAGATCGTGATTATTTAAATTATTTCGAAGAGGAAGAAACGCGGGAAATTTTATTGTTCTTATTTTTACTTGGAGCCATTTTTATTGGGACGAGGATATCTTTTTAGCAAAATTTACGTATCGCCCTGAACATCGTGTTATTGGTTTCAAAAGTCAAGAATCGTATATTGTAACCGGCTGTGAATTAAAAACTGAGTCTGAAATATCCTTTGATCGATGAGCAGTCACGACGACGTAGAATGATGATCGTTTGAATTAGTCGAGTCCTTACGGTAGATATAAGCTTTATTCGAGTTAAGAACCTCACGTTTTTGTTTAGCGTTGCCATTTCCTACAGATTTCACACAACATGTATCGCTTAACTCTTTCATTACAAAACCAGTTGCTACGATGACTGATTACTGTATGTATTCGGTCGCAATGGTGATTATAGTTTACTCTATAGTCACACGGCGAACAGAATTATACTAACAAGCATGGAAATCATTGTCGCGAATATTTAATAATTAATCTATGTTGTACAGAGTAATTATAGTTGCTTTGGAATGCAACTATAATTATACTTATATAGAAATATTACGGAAGGAAGTAGCGAATGTAATCTATTATGAGATATTTTCATCAATGCATGATGACAACGAATGATGGTATATATATATATATCTATATACACATATAGTAATGAATTATTACTATATTATTATAATACTTGTTGTATCACAGTAACGTATCCAATTGAAGAAAAAGAGCAACTTTTACACAGTGGCTATTTGCTTGTTAAACACACTTTCAAATCTGCTTGTTATAAACTCTCTTCGCATGTGTAAAAATGTTGAATAATTAAGAAAGAGTTATAGAAAAGAAAAAAAGAAGAATCATTCGAAATAGAAAAAGAAATTTGCTTTATCGCAAGATCTTTATAACGTGAGTTCCATTGGACTGGCCTAGTTCAAAAGATTCAGGATTACACTCCGAATATCTGGTGTATAGGAATCATTTACAGTCGTAGCGACGATACGATGGTTTTTCGTTTTTCGAATTCATGCAATTTTCCGGTGACAAGGCGAGATTTCATTTTTTTATTCGAGACTGCGGAATACAACCTCGGTGTTTAGTCCTGCGTTCATCGATGATGATTCTTAGTCGTTTTTTTAAATAATCATTATTTCCTATTTATCGTTAATTTCACTTCATTCTCGTAGTACATCGTTTTTCATTTGATTTTCATGTGTGCTCTTCTCATTATCCCGGAAAAAAACATGCATTTAATGATATACGCTGTCACATTATGCGCCTGAGAGCTTGAAGGCCTAGAATTAGTAGTTTTTATTCTGCTTTGGGTTTTATTTTTCACCTTTTCACAATTCGTTCTTAACGTAGACAATTCTGCCCGCTTCTATGTATTTTAACTAGCATGTAGTGTATTCAAGACACAATTTTTTTTTACGATTCACCAGCTGGGTTTTAACGGTACTTTTAAGTGCAATCTAAGTGCAATCGAATTAAAATTGTTTCTATATATTTAATACAGAAACTGGCACTATATATTTATATATTTGGCTTAATTTTTATCCTCTAGTTAAACTTGATGCAATTATTTGTACGAAGTGTACGAAGGTCAATGTTTAACTATTGGTTAAATTAGGTGAGATTTTGAGAAAATAATTTTGATTTTTTAAATATTTTTTTGTTAAATCTTGTTTGATATTCATTTGTAATATATGTTCAGCTTTTGGTAAGCGGTAAAAGACAGCTGTAATTTTTAATCGCTTAAATCTACGATTTTATTATTTATTAGATATTTTAGTAAGCTTTATTTTGGCATAGAAGGGAACACTGTTTTATTTCTATCTTAAGAAAATTTACCTTCTGTCTCGAGTTTTACGTGGACCGTAGATCAACGTCGATCGATCTACTTCTTCATAGTCGAGAAATAGATGTGATACAATATTAGGAATAAGGTTTTTAGTCTTCACTTATTGTCGGAAGTAGTCGCTTTATTCTATAAATTGTTTAAGGTATTGCAGCTCTCAGGTGCAAGTACTGTTATTTAAATAATGTAAGTTTTGATTTATAATAAATATTTCCACTTGTAATCCTTGTTCATGTGCCTCCTTCGCGTGGAAAACATCCGGCTATTTCTTATCGTAACAAGAGTTTCAAAAGATATGCATTTTTAAGCAACATTGTATTCGTGTTTTCGAATTTTATTAAAATTTCGTTGCTAACAAAGGCTAATTTATTTTCTTCGATTATGTATCTTTTAATCTTCATTCCCCTCCTTGCGTAATTTTTTTGCGATATTCTGCTTGCCCAACCATCCTAATTTTGTATTAATCGTCAAGAATGATTAATAATTAAACATGAGCGAATTATATATTTTACGAACAAAATTTATTATTGTTTTATTATAATACGTTTATAGTCATATATAGTTATTTATTATAATTTGTTTTACGTAAATAACTTTTACGAATAAAATTATAATATCAAATTCTTCATTCGCTCGTATCTAATTATTATTAGTCATTCCTTGTAATTAATTGCAAAAGTAGGAAAGTAAAATGAGTTTCTATTAAAATTTTACTATGAAATTCTTCATCCTCTATTTTATTGATCTAATGATACCTGCTTCATTGATATTAGTAGAAATCCAGGCCTAGATCACGCGTAGGTAACATCGCCACGTCACACGTTGTAGCAATATCACAAGTTGATAAGATTGATCGGTTATTTATAACATTACAACAGTAGCTATAAATACCGACAGTCTGTTCACCGATAATATTTCGTCCGTCATCTTGATTGCCAGACGGCACAAATGCGCGCTCTTAAAATACCAAAAAAAAAAAAAAAAAAAAAAAAAAAAAAAGAAAAAAGAAACACGAATGAAAATCGATTTATTAAATGGCTTTCCTGTAATCTCCAGTTCCTCGTTCCTCGTCGAAAATATGACACACATACGTTGCATCGTGTCGGGGCTATTGTTAACCCTGTAATCATCTTTTCCTGGTACAAGTCTGTTTCGTTACTCTTTCGTTATACAATCGTTACACTCGCAAGGTAGTGTAAAAACAAAGAGAAAAGAAAATAATTAGATGACGAAGCATTAGTTTCGCTCTGCATACGAAATTTTATTACACAATTATTTGTATACCACATTAGCACTGTTTCATCCACTGTTCGAATTATAGAAAAGTTTTTATTGAGCATACTGTTACACGTTACAATAGTAATCATAATCAGTAATCGTAATAAAGGTGAGAATAATTGATAATAAATGATATTACCTTATCTCTTTTTTTTTTTTTTTTGTCAACAAGTAGAAACTATCACGTGAAAAGTTACACCTATAAAAGGGCCATAGAGAGGAGAGAAAAAACGGTACTCTTTTACAAACTTCTGATTTGTATCGGCTTGACTAGCATATTAGAAGCATTAACATTACGGTTAATCGTAATCAATTAGATTCGAAGAGGGCTGGGGGGGGGTGGTGGTGGAGGATCGAAAGCACGTTTAATGCAGAGGGATATTATTAATTACGACATTACAGGTATTAAAAATTCGCTTCATAATAAATTAGATACGACATATAAAGGAGAAATGTACATTTATAAATTGCTAATAATTATTATCGTATATTATTACACGTATTTATCGAGGGCTACACATCGTGTTACTTTTCACTTTTTTCTTTTTTCCTTTTTTTTTTTTGTTCGTTTTCTTATATAAGACAATACCTAATAACAATTGCAAGGCTGATTTGTACGAGAGTTTCAGTAGCAAAATATTCGCTCCACGATTTACGCTCCAACCCTCATATCTCAACCCCCATACAAATCCCCCAAAAACACAAACATGATCGAACTCTGCTCTGTATTCAATTGCTCATTTCTGGAGAGAGAGAGAGAGAGAGAGGGAGAGAGTAAGAGATTAATTAGTTCCACAGCCTTTTATAATAATATTAGGTGAGCAAATCAGCCTGGCAGATTCGGAGAAAAGAAGAAGCGACACTCGCGCACGCACACGCGAAAAAAAAAGGAAAAATCCGACGAATGATAGTAAAATATTGTGTACAACTTCCCAATAAATATGCGACGTCCGCCTAAAAGTACAGATTGCTTGTATAATCCGCCAACGTCTCGACGAGAAAGTACTTAAAATAGAGTCTAAACTAGCCTTTCGTGTTCTATATATATATAAGTCTAGTATTCAATTTGTATTAAAAGGGGTAATCCCCCTATGATTTTTAATCGGTTATACTATAGGCTTGAATCACCCCTAACAGAGGCAATCCAACATATCTCTGATCTCCCTTCGCATATAAATAATTCGTATATGGTAAAAATTGATTTTTTGTAACAAGATGTCAACAAAAAATAATAACGTTAAAAATATAAAAATGAGTGACTGATATAAAGAGTAAGATGGCAGCATCAATCTCATCGATTAATCGTAGAAAAATATTTTTAAAAAATCAATCGATATGCTAAAAATGTTTTTAATAAGAGAATTAAGTAAGTAAGTAATCTGCGGTAAAGTTATTTCGAAAGAAATGTTACAGAGACATTTGGTTGCTCTCTTTTCAGTGATTTCATCCCGTAAAAAACTTAGTGTTCTCTCGTGAAGTAGGTTTCGAGATCGAAGGACAATCACGAAAGATTCAAAACCTTGGTTTCTTGCAGCGAAAAGCGAAGAATTTTCCATCGACTTCCTCGATTCGAAATCTATTTCATCAATGAGACTTAGTCAGTAGCTTCGTTATCGATGAATTTTGCAAAATATCGAATACTGAGTAATACACGATCCTTTATCTCGTACTATTCATGTGTTCATAAATAAGAAACGGTCGTTCGGCGGAAATTTGTTCGAAATCTCGGGTTCAGTGCCAACGAACGAACTGAATCGACCCTCCATTTAGCCGATCCGACGCTCTAGCACCTGCTTGTAAATCAAATTAAATCCGATTGAATGCTAATCGCCCGATCGTAAGATCATACTCTGCTTTTTCAGACTCTTTAGCTGCGTTATATGAAATTCTTACTTCGAGATCGTACCCAGCTACGCATTGCACTACTAGATTGCACTACTATAATCATCACCCTCGGCAGCTAAATGATTCAGACAAATAATACAATTTCTTTGGACCATCGCGCAGCTAAGACAAGTCCTTCTTTTTCTTTACATTAATTACTAATTACAAAAAATATGGGCAAGAATTCTATATATCAAAAAGCGACCAATAGAATGATGACGATTGTACTGATTTTAAATACCGGATATGTGGGAGTATAGATCTAGATTAACACGATTTACGAATAAAAGTACAAGGTTTAGTAATCGTTTTCCTTAAATTAAACTTTGGTCGCTTTCAGTGGACTTTTTTTTCGTTTTTACGTCGATCGTTCGAAAGCTGTTTATACCTGGCAGTGTTCAAGTATATTCTAAGAGTTAGATTACCGAAGAGGTTTTTTGTGCTGCAAATTGAAAAATTCGTTACGGACTTACATGTAAAATGTGTGAACAATGAGACGATCAAAAGGAAAACATGGTGCTAGCAACGAAACTAACAGTAAGAGTAGAGACAGGTGTTTCAGACTTGTTAGTTTCGCCACCACGAAATCGACATCGTTAACTCTACGAGGTTTGCTGCTCGCGAGGCTTAAGAACTGGTCTTCGGCCAGGCTATCTTCGCGTCGATCCGCTTGTAAGCGAAAAGGCAGTGAGAGAGTTCTTGCGGACACTCGTGGTCACCGAGTAAGGTTTCTGTAAGAGAAAATAAAAAAAAATCTATGTAATATCTCTTTAATTTATATCACCGTGATAGCACAGGTTAGTAAATGGTAGTTTAATTATAACTGTTTTTTAATTGTTCGATGTTGCAATTCTGTAATTGCTTTTTAATCGTTCTTCAGCTATTTAGCTAATTTCTTAAGTATGTAAATTACCTGCTTAATAATTTATTTTGTGTGTATTTTTCATTAACACGTTATAAATCATATATGTAGTATCCTTAATTAAATGTTTGTAGACAAATTTTTTTTTAGCAAAGTTTGTACAAATTTTTATATTCTAAAAATTAATAAGCAAATAATCCGTCTAACGATAGGAAGGAACACAATAACAGACGAATGTGTTAATAAAATTGAAATTTCTAACGATGACAATAGAAATTGTACAAATTTGGTAAAACTACCTTCCCCTTGAACCAGTTTGAACAGTCCATAGTCCTGGGGGTTGGTGCATCTAATTTTATGTGCAAGAATGCGACAGATCTCTCTCGTGTTCATATTCGGTCGCACAGGCAACGTTCTGGTGTTCAGGGATCCATGCAGTTCATCTGGCACTAAGATTCGTAGTACGGATGAACAGTCTGGTGTTCCACAGCCCTGAAACATTCAAATAGCAATTGTTCAACATATACAGATATTTTTATTAATGTATTAATTTAATATATACTAATAGTATAACAGAATATTAATATTCGAATTATAAATAATAACACAGTATATCGATATATCTTCATTGAAATCTAAAGAAGATTAACACTTCTTAAAGTTGTATACTAACATTACACTAAAAATACCATAGAAATTTGATAAATATAATGCTTCAGAGGCCAGCATCAGCCAAGTCACTTACATTTAAAGTGGACATCGTTCCCTGGCTGGACTTGAACGTCTTCAAAACGTGAACTGCGCTGGACAAGGTCGTCAGATAATATCCCCCTTCGCCAGTGAGAAGAGAGGGATGAAGCAAGCCCCACATGTACTCAGCCTCCACTTCAGCGTCCACAACTCTGCCACGAACCAACACCCAAACTAGAAGAGGAAGGAGGTCGTCGGCACCCAGCGCCAAATGTCTACCAGAATTTGCGTGTTTTACCTGAAAAGCCAATCGCAATAAGCCTTTAAAATTTGCTCCGAATACGATACACATTTATGAATATTACGATAAACATTTAAATTTCGCATCGAACAAGAAATCACATATTTATTTAAAAACGAGAAGGGGCTCGTAACGCGACTTACAGAGTTGAAAATTGCCGAAAAAGCTGCGAGAAGGTTTTCCAGTTTATCCAAAGGTGAATCCGCCTTCTGAAGACGATCGATGCACTTGAGGATTCGTTCCAAATTGGGCTCCGATGGGGGTATGATCTTTGGCTGTAAACAAAACTATTATTAATATTTATCGATTTTTATTTTAAGCTTAATCGCTTCGATGATATAAACTGTAATCTACTTTAAGAATTTGAGGCCTTCTAGCTACGTATTTCTAGATTCTGATTACTCTAATCTCTAATAGACGAAACTAGATATGCTAGAAAATCTGTATCGCGTATAAATAATTACAGTTAGACGAAGATTCGCTATTTTAAAAATCTGCCAAACAGCACTATAATCAAAGCCTATTTCTTCTGCTCTCTTTGAATCAGGAAATAAATCGAAATAAATAAAGTTACTAATCTCGATTTTCACTTTATTCTCTTTCTCAAGGGAGGGAGAAAAAAGCTCCCCTAATCGAGGGAAATGCAAAAGGAACTAAAATATTTAATCTCCTACTAAACTACAACAACTACGATCATACAAGGTAATAATAGCCTCTCCAAACTACCCCTACTGGTAAACTACCCTCACAGGAGAGACTACAAGAATAAACTCCATATTAGAACAACTCCCATTCGGCAGACAATGATCATTTCGACAAACGGTTACTAACTCGAACGCCGAGATCCTGAATGTGTTTCCCTTGGGCGTGTTGAATGCTCTCGGCGAGGGTTTGCAACGAACCGGTGGTCGCGTAATGATCCACAAACAGTCTGTAAACGTGTTCCCTGAGCGGTCTGACCACCAGGTTCATCATCACGCCCTCCAAAATCGCGTCCAGATTCAAAAATTCATTCGCCTTCAGCTTCAATCTTTCCTTCTCCACTTCTTTCTCGAACTCCTTTTCGCCGTGTTTCACCAAATAGTTTTTCATTCCAGACATGAACTGTCTCATGTTTCTCATAACCACGTGCGGACTGGCTTCTTTCCCTTCTTTCGTGCATTGGATGAAATTATCGATATTCTGAGAGAAGGTGGTAGTTTTGTCAGCGGCCAGCTGCAAGGCGTACGATCTTATGCTGGAGCCTGTGCCTCCGTTGTCACGATTCCTGAGGGCTTGCAACCTCGGAGGAGCTGTGGGGCAAAGAAAAATTCGATTAGGTTCTTGGTTCTGTTAATTGCAGGCTTTTATTCGAAGGGGATGTTTATCGTTGGATCGTCAAATTCAAGCTTGTTATTAGTTTATTAAATTTTTTATCAAATACGGGGGTAGGCATCGATTAGAATAAATGGTCTTAGCGTGAACGATTTCTCCAAATTATTCGATATTTTTTATTGATTTTAAAACGGGGATGATCATTTTATTGCGCGTGGCTTCCAGTTTATTCGTTCTGATAGCAAGAAACGAAAGATCGTCGATATAAACATTGACCAAAGCATCGATAAAGAGGAATAAACGTTGAAATAGCGATTTAAATAATAGATACCGAATGAAGAATGAACGTCGATAGAGGGATGCAAATACTCGTACTCCTAGTTCCATACTGTTATTTGATCACTACTGCTATTTAATTTTTTTTTTAATCAGATATCTTAGCAAATAGGCACGGTATCGCAAAGCGTTGTCTTATCAAAGGGGCGCCACTAATGATACGTGGGATTTTGAACTAAGTGAAGTATGTTAAAGACATTACAAACAGACTTTATCCGTACACTATACACATGCTTATAAAGATAGTAAATTGATCATCTCTCACTATCGGTTAACATCCATGCGATAATTTGTTGGAAAAAAAGCTCCTTAAGCTACGCAAACAAAATTTCCTTCGTGTTTTCCGATATAGAGCTCTTCCAATAAGGTGTTCAAATATTTAAAGGTTCAGAAGAGAACGCGTGTGTTTGTTGAAATTTCGAAAATTCAACATTTCGAATATTCGGACGTTTCTAAATTTAAAAACTTGAAATTTGAAATCGCCCCTTACTTTTACATATTGCGATACCATTTCGCAATCTCTTGCAAATGCACCGGAACCATTTGGAGATTCTCAGAAAGACATTCTTCTTCTTTATAACTTGCTCGCCCTTTTCCGTATGCACCTTTGCCGTGGTACGACTGGCCATCTTCTTCTTAATTTGCCAAATTTTCCAAAATTTTAGTTTGCACCGTTCCATGGTTCGCTATAATATCGTTGTTTTATATCCTCAACCCAGGAATCTTGGCTCGCAAACTCCAATCAAATCAAATACGCTGACAAGCTCGATTTTCCACAGTTTTCTTCTTCGCAAGATTCAGATAGTTCGACTATTCACGATCTTTCTACAGTGTTACACGATAGCTCGATCGATAGATCCCTGCAACGAGTCTACTTCCTATTCGTATTTCTTCTTTCCGCCAATTGTACTCGCCGCTATCTGAGGCGAAGATCGATTAATTTGCGGAAATGTTCTGCGATCGAAGGACTTCTGTTCGAGGCAATTGGCTTATCAACTTCGCAACTCCATTGAAAATTATCGATGACGACGACGACACAGGGCAGCACGTTTAGACGTCTTCGAGATTCGTCGGCCGGTTATCTCGTCGACCCTGGAATCTTAAGGCCAGATATATGCACCCTCCTTTGCAAAAGCTTCTTCCACGAGGACTCTTTGTTGTTGTTTATCGTTGGAGAACGATCGACGGAAATTTCGTACGATTCTTTCGCAGCAGAATGGAAGAACGATGGTCACGAGAATCCTCTTCACGAGACAGAAATTCTTTTCAAAAATCGAAAATCTTCGTACGTGCAACGAAGCTCGAACTCGATCAAAGATTTTGAACACTATTCTGTCAAACTTTTCGGAACTTTTTCGATCGATCGTCACTATTCCGCGGAAAATTTTGAACGAACAAACTGTGAAATAACGCGAAGAAACTTTGACGAACGCTGTATACACCGATCGAAACTCAGCTCGAATCGTCAACAAAGCTCACGATGATCCTCAGTGATCGAAGTCATCGAGCTCTGGGCTGGATCCAATTCGATCCTCCACGAGGCTTCACCAACGCTGAATCGGCGAACACTGAACTATGGACAGCGCTATCGCGAAAAGGTAACCTCCGGGCTGCTTTGTATTGGTAGGGGGGCAAGTAATCAGCTTGCAAACGGAAGACATAGGTTGCTGAATTTTGGCGATTACTATCGTTACTGACAAATCCGGCCCTATTCTACCCTTTAAAAGAGAGCTAATACTCGAAGAAATTAAAAAGGTTTACAGACCCATACATTCATAGACGAAGACATACATTCATTGTTTTCATTGTCCTTCGAGCGTAAGCTTAACTACCGGAAAGTTTTAATGAGTTTATTAGAAAGCTCCAAATTATCCATTAGGCGAAGCCTTTGTTACGTTCTTTTTTGTGATTACAATTAGACTTCGGTTGTTTATGCATTTATGGGAAATATGTTTTTGTTTAAATATTCATTAAAATATGTTTTTGCATAAATATTCATTAAAACATGTTTTTGCATAAATATTCATTCACCGTGAACGAGCGATACAAAAATTTCGTTATAATTCTTCGTAGAAATATTTTTTACAGTCTTTAAAACCAGTGGAGAAACAACCCTTGTTACCTGGCCATTCGAAAAAGGAAGAAAATAGAGTATAAAATATCGGAAATAATTTGTCAAGAATCATCGCTGATAACTGTGTTCTATCGGACAACGAGTTACAGTTCAAAACCTGATTGTTCAAACACTGTCAGACGATTCGCAGCCTGTTACCTACTCACGAAAACAAGCAAGTTCTAGCGACTTGTTTGTTACTACGTCGTATTACGTTAAGTGCTGGAAATGGATCGGCCACTGTTACACCGTGATCAATGTTTCCATATTGTTACGAACAAAATCTTTTCTTCGTAGATAAATATCGTTTCGTTGCAGAGGTAAACAGTTAAAGAAAAAGGAAAGCTTGTAGAACGTAACAAATTTTTCGAAGAATTCTACGAGAAATGATACATCGACGACTGCACCTGCGCACGTTTTTGCGATTTTATATTTTTATGAAAATGATCGAAAAAGTAGGACCCAGACACGGAGATTCGTTTCGCCTATTAAACGTTATATCGGCTACTGTGTTTTCGATATTCGATACTTTCGCGTATCTTTGCGTATCGAATATTTAGCAGATTCCACGAATCTATCGAATATTCTGGAAACGACGAAACGATCGTTCAAATTATTCCCAGCGATTTTATTTTATAGCCGGCTATGAAACAACCCCTCGGATAACGCGGCATTTAAACTTAAGGGACGATTACGAGCAACGATGCGCAACATGCGAGTTTGCTGTTCCAACCACTGACACCTCGTAAACTATTCCAATTTGTTGGCAAATCCAGCCATTATCGTTCGCCTTGTAGTTAGGTACCGTTGTTCGTCATAAACCCCCGAAGATGAAAAGATATGTCGTAATATCGACACTTTGGAGAAACTTCGCAAGATTAAATTTACTTCGAATTTCTAAAAGACGAACGTCGTTGAACAGCATTTTACATTTCGTACAAACGATATCTTTCAAATTCTTCGCATAGCTTGTTCCGTATACCTGACGGATATAATCGCGGGTTTGGGTAAAAACCCGGGCTATTGTTAAAGCAATGAAGCGATATAGCAATAAAATTAGGTATTAGATTCGTGCGAATAGCAGGACAGGATTTAATTTCTATTACGATCAATTACTATACCTGTTTTAATTGTTATGTTTTATTAATTTGTTTATAATTTAGGTCGTCTTAGATTTAGAAATTCGAGATCTATCGAGAATTAATACAATTTTCATTCGAAATTTTGCAATTCAAAATTATTACGACAATTAGAGAATACGCATTTGAAAAATATAAATTAAGACAATGTCGAGGCGTAGGAAATTCGAGGATTCGAAAAATATACGTTAGAAATTTTCTCTTATTCGAAATCTCTGTTCTTATTGTTTTTTCTTTTTTTATACTTTATATATTTTATCGGCTTTATTCGTTGTTCGTTCAAATCGTTGCTCGAAAATTTCAAACGCACCGTAAAATAAATCGAACGTGAAAATTTCCATGGCCCCGTACGAATTAATTCTCGGAGGGGCCAGACAACGAGAACGTCGATACTCTCTTACAAAAGAAAACAGGAACAAAAGAGTACTCGGGGAGTAGACGAAGATAATTAACGACCGATGCTAGCCGCGCCGAGTGAAACGAACGCGTTTTCCATACGACAGATTACGTTTTCGATGCATCGTTTGCAACGTGAGTTTCTGTATTCACCGGCTGTTCACGTGCACGACTAACGATCAGCAGAATCGAGGTATCTGTCACGATTCAACTGTACCGTATTACAAATTGCTACTGCATCTGCCAACTCCATTTATCTTTATTATGATTTTATAATAGATCGACCACGTCTTGTCGTGTTGCGTTTTTATTTCCGTCTTTTTCTCTTCTTTTTCCAACCGTCTTTTTTATATCTCAGCATCGATAGCAGAAGCTACTTGTTGATTTTATATAAAATACATGCTTCGTTCTCTCTGTTGTGTGTAGTAAAGCACGAAGGATGCTCGTGTTTTATCTATTGTTTTTCTTATTTTGATATTGCTAATTAAATATTAACGCGCTTTGGTGCCCGATGGAGATAATTTTGTTTAGACGGTCTTTATTATGGGATAGTAAAATAATCTCTCTCTTTTTTTTTTTTTTTTTGTTATAGAAAAAACGATTCTTACTTTGCGATGATAGTTTCTTCTGTCGTTCTTTATGGAGACTCGTTTTAATCTAATTATAGTTAATTACGCGCTGGATTTCTACGTTTCTTTCGCAAGCGCTTGACACAGTGACTTCACAATTTCGATGATCCACATCTAGGCGAGATAATTTCGCGAAGAAATGGGGTAACGTGGACGAGATTGAAACGTAGCACGGTGTCACATGCTCAACAAGGCCATTGGGCCTTTAGAAACAGTAATCAGGTAAACGAAACATTCTGCATGCCACAGTTATCGAAATAATAATCAGACAGAAACGGAATAGTCGCCTCTGATATACATCCGACGATAATCACTCCAAAACCTCGATATAAAAATCCTCCTAAATTAGCGCTCGAAACCTTATTCCGTTGTAACACTTTGTAACCGTCATTCTGTTCGATTTATATAATAAAAATTTCATTATCATATACGAAGTTCAATTTCTTCACTTTATTCGTGAAACGTTCGAACTGCGACGCGAAGAGATCACCGGCGATCTATCGGTTTCGTGATTTCTCGTGTCTCCAACGTGACAACGGTAACGAATTTTTACAAAGACAGACGCGCCCAAGACGGTGATAATCGTATCGCGATGAACGCATGTATCGCGGGATAATAAAATGATTTCCGCCATGTGTGTTACGTTGACACCGAAGATAAAACGTTTCTATTTTAACTGATGCGTTTGTTGCGTGTGCCACTAGCGATTTCTCTTGTCACAAAACTGTGAACAGTAAATAAAGGACGAAGCTTATTTCATACTCTTCCTTTTATTTTATGAATTTTATTTCTACATTTTTTTACTTCTAATTTACTGAGGAAGAAATTTTGCATTTCGAACAGTGTCCGAGAGGATTGGAATTTAGTCAAAAATCATGAATCATTTTTGCTAATAAAGTAAATATCTTATCATTACAATTAAATAAATATTATTGTTCTATAATTATAGCATTGCAAGTATATTATTGTAAAATATTTACGATCTTTCTATCCATTACAATATTCGTAATTTAATTATAAATTGCAAGCATCGTCGATAAAATCGTAAAATTACGAGAAAAGAAATTTTCACTGAACGAGAGAACAATAATCCTCGACTCTGCTTTCGATGAAAAGGAAATTCGTCGATCTTCGGTATCTTTCTCTTCGTGAATTTTTTTTTTATTTCGTTCTCCCTTGTAAAAGGAAGCTCAACAATTTTTAACACCTTCGGATCGTCCTTGTATCAAGACAATAATTACAAATGTACAACATAAAATCCAAGAAGAAACGTAAGAGAATTACATGTTTTTCAACTTGAGGAGGACATGCATCGGTAGTGTTCTTTCTTTGCTTTCTGTAATTATTGAGATTTTCCATTTACGTTGCTTGTCCATTGATAGAATAAAATAATAAAGAGACAGTACGTAAAAGCATCGACTGGAATTAATAATTAATGATTAGTAAATTAAGGGTGCAACGTGCACTTTGCGAGTTATAGATTCTACCTGAGTTTGAGCCTCTTTATCGCACTTCTATTGTGCATCGTAAACTACCGTTTGAAAGGAGCCGGCATCGTGACGTTTCCATGGGAAGGAAGTGTTTGAGGATCGATGGAAAATTTTGGAAGTTTGCTCGTAGTCGCAGGAAAATTGCGCGTCAAGACCGAAACCCTAACAACGGAAAAGTTACGTTTTATTCGTTCGTTATTGTTATTCATACAGAGTTGGATGACGAAAGCTTACAGTTTGTCTGTATAGATCAATTAATTCCAGTTTTAATCTATTAATTATGCAAGAGTGTTCATGAATATTCATGCTTATGCATATTTAATCTGCTTAGTTTCTTGCTTTAAAATTCTTTGGTCTAATATCCTAATTTACTAATTTATATATTTTTTCGATTATCGAGTATTCTGACTTTTGTAACGTGTCAGCTATTTGATCTCTGAACTTCCCTATTTTTTTCTCCAAATATATTTATATACATTTTATAAACTATCAAACATATTCGAGCTACCAAGTTTTTAAAGGGACAAACTTTTTACTCTTCCAATTTTCTACGACCTTCTAATTTTTCGATTCCTCAATTTCCTATTTTAAACCTCTAATATCGCAATATTTCCACATTTCTATCGAAATAAAAATTTTCTAATTCTCTCATTTCTAACGTGTCAATTCGTATATTCGCAAACTTTCGAATTTACTGTAACTGTTTACCCTCCTATCCTTTTTACTCTCATTCTGCAAACGTTTGAATCTTCTATTTTGTTCATAGCCAGATATCGAGTCCTTTTAAAACCCATCGATAAACATCGACATCAGCGTTTCCTGTTCGACAAACGACATGCGTCGCAGACAAAGATCATCTCGAAACGATCATCAACCTCTTATCCTCTTATCTCCACCTCCAGACGAGAAACCAGCGCAATCATCAGCATATAACATCACACGCATTATCCATCTAGCGTTGGATAGAACGATCGACGAAATCAGAGCGCGTGTAACGTGACCGCGTTTACTCCGACAATCTCTTGTTAAAGCGGTTCTTTTTCTCTTTAGAATCGGTTGTCGTTGCAACGTCATAATCCATTCGGAAGCTCCTTTTATTCGCGATAGTCGACACAATGGTACGCTTCTCCTATGACACATCTCGCTATTGCCTTCCTCTCGGTCTTCAGCTATCGATCGGTCACGACTGTGTCATCCACGACTCGTGACCTTCTGGATGCGATTTCCGATACACTTGCGCCATGCATTGGCAATGCACTTCGATGGATCTTTGACTATGAGTCATCCGATACTGACAGTTGTCGATAAATCGCCGTATAAATATGTTTTATACGTATGTTCCAGTTCTACGTTCTACATGCGTGCTCCAGTTCGGCTAGCATACTTTGTTTATGCGAAATAAACACTCTTTAATACATACTAATAGTACTATGGACGATTGAAGAGTATCAAGTTTGTATCGAACAAATAAGATTGAAAGATATGTTATATATGCTATAAAAAAAGAATAAAATAATCTTCGGAATTTCACGGTGGTGTATTTTCAAAATCTCTATCTTTAGTTCTTTTATTTTTCCATCTGTTTTTAAATGTTCGCTATTGTCTTCTAGAGCAAGAAAGAGAATATAAGCTCGTACACTTACAGAGAAGAGGGTCCAGTCGTTCTTTGAAGCTCTTGTTCCTCTTCATCCTCTCCACGTCGCTTTCGTCCGTCTCCAATGGCGTCTCCCACTCGGAAGAGTCATAAGTTTGGTCCTTCCTGGTGTCTCCAGCCTCCTCTCTTTCGTTCCTCTTCTCGACGTTGTCGTACGAGGAGTTCCTGTCGCTGTAAAGCGACTCCGACGTGTCTGGCGGTTTCAACAGCTCTGGGTACCTATTGGACACACGTAAAAATCACTGATAATTATTTTAAACAATTTACAGTCGCGTCATTGATCGTTTCCAGGTATTTTTATAGTACAGTAACATTCGGTAATTTTTCTGCAGTTCTTTTCCCAAAAATTGCTCGGCTTCGTTAGAAGTGAATTTCTTTTAAAATTATTAAAAATACTCTAACTAAAATTTGAAGATGGAAAGATACGTGTAAGTTTATTGCTAAAACTGTTAATTAATAGACTGCGAGTGTTTCTGCGTTTTTGGGAAATTTAAGATTCCAAAAATCTACAGAGTGCGTACAATATGCAAAGATACGTGTAATATTTAAAGCGTAGACCACTCAGTATGATGTTTAGTAGATTTCTATTAAAGTAAATTCCATTTCTTTCATTGTGTTCATAAAAATATAAAATCGAATAAACATTCGCAGTCTAGTAATTAATATTTTTTCTTTAACACTCGTAAAGTGATTCGAATTGGCTAGACTTTTAATTGGCTTTTATTGATCGACGCAAATTGTTGGAAAATGGACTTTTATCTCCTTATAGCAGCAGTCCCTTAGATGTAAGAAATATGTTTCCCTCGTCCAAATTTAAACAGCTTTGTTTGATTCGTTATAGACACCATTGATGACTGTAAATAATAAGAAATAGTGGCAAATTGTGAATGATGTCAGCTGGGAACTTACCGTTGGAGGATGATACTCTGAACGGTCAAAGTGTTCCCAACAACGTCCCTGTCACACTCCTCGTCCGGAAACTTTCTGGCCACGTTGTCGCCCTCGTAATCCGCGTCACAGTCGTAGTCCGGATCGCAGTCGTCCCCTTCGTTGCCTGAACAAATATTATCAAATGTCGTTATCGTTGCCCCTATCGACCTATCCTCTATATTCATCGTTTACAAAGGAAGAAAATCGATTTTTCAATGAATTTCGCGCACAGCTTGCGCATCTACATGCGTGCATTTGGTTGACTATTCGAACAGAATACAATTCTTATATAACAGAAGAGAACGTGCTGATTTATCGGAAGCTTGTTTAAACTTTCTCAAATAGAGATTAGATTATGCGAATCGTTAGATTCATCGCGACATGATTTGCTGATGTTATGTAAAGATTGGACAAGAGATTCGATCGTATCTTTCGTTTCAAGTTGCTTGTTGGTTGCTATATTACGATGTATTATCGATGTGTTTGATGTAACGACACGATGTCGGGTTTGCTGATTCGAAAAGAAATCGTGTATGTGTGCACTACGACTTCAACAAGGTGTTAGATTCTTCGCTCGTGTCTTTCGATACGATCTTTTTCCTCGTTCACCTCAAAATTATTTAAAAGATCAACGAAGCGATAATTTAACGATAGGTCTTCAACTACAGAGATCGTCGCTTTTCACAAAATCATAAATAACGAAATATATAACGAATAAGAAATCGTATCACACCAATAAATTCCCAGCTGGAGTCCACGGCCCAGGAAGTGTCGTTGAACACCTTGGTCCTGATCTTTGGTGGTTGTACTGGCTTGGCACGTGGAATCTTTTTCGTCTCTTTGGTGCCGAGTCTCTTGGCCAGATTATCCACGGAAGACGAGATCAGAGGCGTCTTATCTTCCGTTTCTTCCGATTCCTCCCAGTCGATCGGATGCAGCTGATTAGAATTTGCACCTACTGGGGTTTGTAGCCACCCTGGTTCGCTGTGTCGATATTTATTCGTTGCTGGGTTGTTCCTAGGTCGTCTTCTTGGTATTATCGCCGCGCTCTGCGCGATAGCGTCCGCTGGCTCCGCGTAAAACGGACTACCCTGCTTCGACTCTGGTGTCAGGGGGCTGTTGCTCTCTGATTTGGCCAGCATTAAGCCTAATTTGTTCCTGGGAGGTGTCACTGTGCTGGGACTGTTCAAGGAATTCGCGCTACCTGCTTGGTATACGATAATTTTGAATTAGTGGCAGTGGATAAGCGAAGGTCGCTGAATAATTTGCTTCTTATTTATTGATATATCCAATTTCGAAACTACAGATTTTTATGCACTTTTACATTCTTAAATTCGATGAATTCAAACAGAAATTTGTTTCACCTACCAATTATTGTAATGTACAAATATTATATAATACTACGATATATAAATTCTGCCAAATAAACCCGATTCTGCACTAAATACTCACAGACTCGAGATAACAGATCAGGTCTCCTGCCCATTCCTGTTTCTTCCGGCGATCCATTGCTCTGCTCCACAGGCTTCACCTCCTGAGCAGGCTTAAAGCTGCTAAACTCGGGACTGGTCATCTCCTTGTAACTCAATTTCTCATTACCAATCGACTTGTCGTTTCTCACGATCATCCTGTCGTTCCTCACTATCAACTGCTCGCTCGTTGGTAGTCGTTCGTTGAAATTTCTCTCGGAATTTGCATTTGCAACTCTGTCTGGGACCATCAGTCGATCGTTCGAGTTCCTCAGTCGGTCCTGAGGGTTCGCTGGTCCATCATTCCTGGCCAGTTTGTCGTTGGGAGACCACGTGGAATGGTTCGACTGATCGGTAGTATTCCAAATATCCTCGTAGTCCGAAATCTTATCTCCAGGTGAACTTCGATAGTACGACTCCAAAATGTCAGATTCTTGGTAGTGTTGCGAGTTCTTTCGAGCTTCTCGGTCTCGTCTTCGTTTCGATTTGCTCGTACTGGATGGCGTAGTTGGTGAAAGAACGTTGGGCGTCTTGACGCCTGTGTTTGGGACTAGTTTTGACATTGGGGAGAGTATCGGCGTCGTCGGAGACAAGGGTGACTTCACGGAGAAGTTTGAGGTCAGAGATTTGTTCGACGTGGCGCTCTGTGGGCTCAATAGAGAAGTGTTGGGGTCCGATGGGGTGTTCTGAAAGAGAAAGACAAAGAGTCAGTGATTTAATTTTATTATCGTTCGATTGGAAATCAGTGGATTTTGAACAGAGTGTAGAGAATCGATGGAGCAGCAATATTTCTAGAATTTTGTGAATTAACAGCGAATAAAGAATACAGAGTTAATAGAGAAATTGATTGCACCGTAGGTAAGGAAAATAAAACACATATTTAACACTTAGCCAACCGAACGGGGAGATCTCCCCTCTGTGAAGCACATCGTTGCGTGACCGAACCGGGAGATCTCTCTGTTTGACTTTAACAACGCGTTTTCCTTCTTTGTCGTTGTTATTATCAGTTATTGTTTACCTGGAATTGTTCCCAATCAATTGCGACACTTTTTCTGCTTCTATGAAGTACAGTATGTAATAAAATACACCAATTTAATGGTGTTAAAATTAATTAAAAGGTTACACTGTCAGTTATGACTAAATAAAGTTATAATCGAACGATACCACGCTGTAAAAAAATATTAAAATGCATTATGAATGTTTAATTTCACGCTATTTATCTTTAGTCATCTTTAATGTTTTGAATTTTACCTATATTTTTGTATACTTTTAATTTAATATTTTGCATAAATAATATGTGAATAACAAAATCATTACCGCAAAATATAATTGACCAGTTAAATAATTTTTAGACTTCTTTGTTTTTCAAGTAGTGAATATTAGTCCTCGTTGCTTGGAAAAATGCACAGTGGACAGCGTATAGATTGGCTTGTCCAGTGCGATGAGAAGCGTATAGCTCGTTCTGCGCGCGCGGTTGGCTAAGTGTTAAGATAAATCGCCAAACATTCTATAACACAATTGACGAATAACAATTTCCTAATTTAATCACAGATATTAAATCATCCCGTCTTCTAAGCCGCGATCTCATCGGATCCATCATCATCGTCAACCCTAATACCAAACTTCCAATCTCTAATCTTCCAAACTATTCTCAAATAATTACCTGAGAGCTACCGACATCGTTCGAGTGATTGACATTGAACGTCACGGTGGTAGTAACGCTGAAATTATTCTGATTCGGGCCAATCGCTGGTTTCGCCCATCTCGGAGGCGGCGGAGGTGGCGTTTTCACGTTCTGTCCCACAGAATGATTCTCCGCTATGATATTTCTTATCTCAGGTAGTACAGGGGACGTGGTGCAGGACAGATTATTGAACGTCGACACGTTTTGATGGAAATTCATCATGGAAGTGCTGACAGAGGAGAATCTGGTCCTGGACAGTTCGACCATCGTCGATTTCGAAGTCTCTGCCATGGTTTTCGACTCGAAGCTGACTTTGGTGTCCTGGACAGGACTCAGCACGTTACTTTCCACGTTGTGAACCACGGGTGAAGGGCAACGAACGCTCTGCACCAGATTAGGAGAGATTAATTTCTGAGACAGTTTGTCCCCTGGTGAGATCTTCTCTTTCTTTAGGTCCAAAGGCTCGTTGAAGGTTGTCAAATTCAAGGTGTTTGGTGGCGTTGGACGAGGCTGTCGAGGCAACGACGACGCGAATGTGGTTGTCGTCAAGGCGCCTGTAGGCGACGAGCTTCCTGCATACGAAAATAAGGCGATGCGGGATTATTTTTGGTGCGTGAATAGTTTTTATTTTTGTTCTCTGGAGATTCTGGTCCCCGAAGGTTCATTGAGTAAGAGGCAGAAGGAAAGTTATGGCTGGATGAGGATTGTAGGTGGGTAGGTTTCTTGGTTTGGCGTTCGATTTGGTGAAGTCGTGAAATTTGTCTTTATTGTTGTGTGTTAATATTGTCATTGTTTTCGTATATTAGTATGCTGACGTAAACGAAAGGTTGTTATTAAAGCAAACTTCTAATTTGGTAATTCGATTGTATATTCAGTCACTCACGGGTATCATGCGACGAGATTGGCGCCAAATTCAACACGATACTCTCCGTCGTCGGCGTATGAATATTGTTATTGTTGTTATTCAAATTATTGTTACCTGAAATAAACAATACCAAATACTCATTCCGGTGTAAGAAAAAAGGCACTCGATAAAAAAGAAGCTATTAATTCTTATTTCTCTTAGCAGAACGAAAAACTACATACAATTATAATTTCCTCCCATAAGCAAATTAAAAGATCCAGTTAAGTTGAGACATAAAAATGAAGTAAAAAGAAGCCAATGAAACTTTCTACTCCGACTTACCACCCCGGAAACTGCTTAAGCTAGACGTGTTGCTGCTGCTGCTCTCCGGTGGTTTCGGATTCGCCATCGGGTATCTCCAGAATTCCTGACCCAGAAGCGCCAGGGAGGAGAGCTGCTGCCTATTCTTGGCCTCGCGCATCGCCCTTGGCAGTGTCAATTGGACCGGCAATTCGTCACTGCTCCGACCAAGGGAAACAGATAAATCAGAGCGAATTAGCGGTCGAGAGGCTCGTTCGAAGCTAATCGAGACGGTAATATAAATGATTCGTTAATCGTACAACACGGTGGAGTCGAGGAAAAGATTTTGATATAACGGGAGGTACTTGGAAGTGCGCATCAATTAACCCTAATAATTGCCAATCCCTTTCATTCTTTTTTATTGCATAATTTAGTAGATTGAAGTTGGTTTTGACTGAATGATTTTAATTGAAATATATATTTTGAAATACCGAATAAATAGGTATACCGGTACATTTAAAAAAATATATATATGTGTGTGTGTGTGTGTGTGTTCGTATGTATCGTTAACAAAATAAATACTACAGATATATTGTATTTTCGAATAAAGATTATGTGCAATAAAAACATTCACGGGTCATTCACGTAGGTTCTTACACTCTTGGAATGGACTATTGTCAGAGAAAGTTAACTTTGACAAGTGCTACGTTTGAAAATTGATCAATCTGAATTTGCAAATCTAGAAATCTGAAAACGGTATATCGCAGGATCAAACCTGATCGAACCTGTTACGTCCGATGACTCTACACAAATCAGGCTCCACGCCGCGTGCAAGGTGGCAGCCAGATGTCTGCACACCCTTATTGTATAGTCTTCAACAGTCTTAAGGACTCACCATAAATCTTGGCATTTTCATAGTTAAAGTATTTTCTCGGGGATGGCTAAGACCCTTCCTAGTCCGCCAACCTTCTTATTATCCAATCAGAAGCAATGCCTATTGCCCTCACTTTCCTAGCCAAAATTGTCATCAATAAGTCCGATGGTCTCGTGCGCTAGACACACCCATCACTAGCTTTCCTCTGCCATAGCATCGTCACTGAACTTCACTGATTTTCCATCTTTGGAACAGTCAACATCTCTTGACCGGGTTTCCACCCTTAGATCAGTCACCTACTTAACTTATACATACGCACCAGCGTAACTATCTTCTTTACAAAGTTGTTGGAATAAACTGTAATGTGTAACTTGTTATATCAGTGTCATGTTTAATTCAACCACCTCTATTATCCTAACCGAAATAGGGGATCGATCATTTCGTGTCGTCGACCGTCTAATCGTAACGGGAATTTACGACTTCCGTTGACGTGCTTCCTCGCGAGTGGTCGAAACAGTCGGAGAAGGTTAACTTGGACAATTGCTACGTTTGAAAATTGACCAATCTGAATTTGCAAATCCAGAAATCTCAAAGCGGTATATCACAGGATCAAACACGTATCTACCGATTGGACCATTAAATGCACTGAATCCATCACACGTGCAGGTGTACATATAATTTCACCACGACTGTGCTCGCATTCAAGATTCGAGTGGCTACCACAAGCGACCATAATCTAGCAATTAACCAGTCTGACCGACCTAGTAAACGCAAATTGAACAATCAACGATCTAATGACAGTTATTATACGCGCGGTTCGTTTACAAAACGTCGCTGCCACCCTCTAATCATCGCGCCAGACTTGAAACGAAACAAGAAACAGGGGAAAAATGTAGAAGCAAGCAAAAATGGGCAGCTCGGTACGATTACCGTGTTATCGGATCGGATCGGCGGAACGATAGGAGGTAAACAGCTGGAACGCTCATGAATCATTAATCGGGATCGTTAAAAGGAAAAACGGCGCGTTGATTATCACGAAAACCGGGGCTTACGACGCTAACAGTGCGAACCTGGCTTTCCAGAGCTCCCATTAGCCGCCTAAATTATCTCTGAACACGATCCGGCTGCGACTTTCACCTCGCGTATCGAGTCTGCCTGCACTCGCATACTCGAGGAATTCGATAAATTATGCAACGCTACCGATCGCCACCGACTACATTTGCTGGCTAATCATCGTTACGATCTTTCTTTTGGATTCTGTTTCGGTGGAACGTGGACTCGGTCTTGTGATCCCATTTTGGTCGCTATCGTTTGTGGATGGTCTTTACGTGCACACATCCTGTGCAGAATCATCAGGAGATCCGATCAAAGAGACGATTAAACGACCATAAATAAACTTATTTATTAGGGAGAACCGAAGCAAATCCGAAAAATACAAGATCGTCAGGAAGATACTAAAACCTCTGGGATACTATTATTTCGTTTGAAACTTTGTGATGCGAAGAATATATATGTCGGAGATGAAAGAACATCAGGAGCTTTCTTTTGGAATTTTTGGGAAAATCCGCAATACTTTAGTCTAAGAATTTTTATCATAGTTGTACTTAAATAATAAAGCTTAGAAGTAGTTGTTTATGATTTAATCCGTTTATGTATGCCCGAGACTCGTGGCTTGGGCTCGAAGTGACACATCTGGTCGCTAAACGTAGCCACGGTCACGGGATGGACGTTTTTACCTAACAGAGGTATGGAGTAGTTGTATAGTAGTTGGAGTATAGTTCCACTTGTACTGTGGATAAGTTGAGCTACACTTGAATTGTGAACAAACAAGTTCAGGTCGACTTGGACTTTGGAAGAAAACGCATTTGCTATCCCGTTGACTGTGTATTCGTTATTGAACCTAAGATTATTGTCATTAACATTTCGAGTATCTAATCGCCACGGTTAATTGTCAAATTCTGTGATAATCATATTTGTACCATTAACTATTATCTATATTGTATAATAACAATAGCTAATCCAAATGAAGATTCGTTAAACGCCCCTAATCCCAATGATAACTTGACATATATATATATATATATATATGTCTTAATATTATTTGTATGTTAGAAGAACCTGGTGAATTACGAATAATACAAGCAAACCTATTTTCATCCATATTGTTGCTTTTCCATGAGTTCAAGGTAAAGGTGGCGCGATCAATGTATCGCAGGGACGAATGTACAATTCTAATCTAATTTTTCATTCATTTATGTACGGCGCTGTATAGTTTCACCGAGAAGAGAACGAAGTTTCTGAGAAAAGTTAAACTATCGGTCGCAGGTAATTAGACGAGAGGAAATAAAGTAGGCGAAGAAAACGTTACATTGAACTTCCTTGCTTTCCATTATCTGCTGGAACATGCACGTTGGAAATTTCACTTTTACTCCGTTTAGCAGCAACTATCGTATCTAACGTTCGATAATTTGCCTTTTATGATATCTTCTCACGCATATTCTCTTTGTAGTTTCACGTACTTTGTCACGCAGTGTTCTCCGGCCTTTTCTAGTTACTTTATCATCGATTTGTTACTTCACTTACATCCTACATACCTTACAACGTAAAAGACTGAATAAACTAAAATTTGCAAAGAGTAAAGTACGAGCTAATTCAACCGAGTGCTGTGATACTTTTGATCAACAGCGTATATATAATATTTATATCATTTATCTATACTCAATTTGTTACTTCACTTACATCCTATATAGCTTACAACGTAAAAGATTAAATAAATTAAAATTTGTTAGAATCCTTCAACGAGTAAAGTACGAGCTAATTCAATCGAGTGCCGTGATACTTTTGACCAACAGCGTATATATAATATTCCTATCATTTGTCTATACTTATTTTGTTACATCCTATATACCTTACAACGTAAAAGACTAAATAAATTAAAATTTGTTAGAATCCTTCAACGACTGAAGTACGAGCTAATTCAACCGAGTGCCGTGATACTTTTGACCAACAGAGTATATATAATATTCCTATCATTTATCTATACTCTCTTATCTCTCTATAATCGGTTCTTATCTATAATCGTATAAAATTTCAATATCATTTTTCAATGACAATGAAACAACTATAAAAACATGCTGCCTCGCAACCTCGAAAGAGGAAAAGTCTTTACAGAGATGGGAAGATTCGATCAAGTAGAATTTTCATAGTAGACGAGAAGGAGATCGTGGTAAATAAATGGCGAGAAAAGGAAGTTGTGATAGCGCAGGTAGTAGAGTAGTAGATGGTATCCGGTCGAGTAGAAGGCGAACACGAAGAGAGGCCACTCACCAACACTGAGAATAGTGGGCGATCAGCGAGGGGATGTTGTCGAACCTGTTCTCGCTGGTCTCCAAGCTCAGCTTCCCCTTGTTGGCTTGGATCAGGTAGTGCTCGATGTACGGTCCCTTTCCTGGTGGCAGCCGCACGGACAGGGCCATCGTGTCGCTCTGACTTGACTGGCGGACTACGAAGTTCTGGAAACATCAAGAGGAGATCGGAATTATACAAATTATTCAACGATTTAGGTGAAATTTCAGGATTTCGCTGATCTACGAATTATAAGAACGTCGAGTATTTATTATTTATTCGAAGAAGTTTTTTAGTGGTCAAAAGGTACTGTTTTTTTACGATTTGTATATTACGCGTTATTTTTAAAAATATATTTCTTGCGTTTATAATTTTGCAAATATTATCTATTCTTTTGTCGACAAATTGATATAGCGGAAGGAAATAGCAAACGTAACGATGAAAAGTTAGAAATTGTGAAAATAATGGTACGCAGAAGAAACTGACCGTAACCTAGGAAACTTATTTTCTCGCAAATAATCCGCTTACATTCTATTTCCAGAGAGACGTATATTTAATCACGGGAAACCTTGGACTTTAACAAACACGGGTTCTTCAAACTCAAACACGTTTAGTGACAGAAATAACAGAAAATTAAATCGCTGAAAGTTGTTGAATCTTCGATAATACAAATTCCTTGAGTCGTAAAGTCTGTCACAGAAGAAAACCTACGAAGATAATCTAATAGTCAGGTACTCGTTCTTAACGCGCGTACTGGATGCACATTTGCTTATCATATTATCATCTCGAATTAATGACATTCTTACGTTACTTAGAATCATCGCGAATGAAAAGTTATAAATAACTATCTCACGAGACAAAAATACGATAAGTACATCCTCGTTGGTTTTTAGATTTTAAGGGTTAAAAGAAAATTGCAATCCTGCTCGAAAATAACGATACTCTTCTTGTCGCTCCATTTCCTCTCTTTCTATCATACTTAAACCTTTCTTTCCACGGAAATACAGTTGAGACAAAAAGGAAGAACACAAAAGGCGAGAGACACTTATTATTATCCAGCGGTTTCCTCATTCCTATTACGCTCCATAAATTTCCTGCAAGCAGCCAAATCCTCGTGTCTCGGGGAAAGAATAACTGCTTTTGCTCGAGAGAAAAAGGAAACCGAGGCGAGACACCGCGTAGTGCCGCGACAGACAAAACACCTTGCATAATTCCGCGACATTTCCAGCCGGAAATCTACGTCCGCGTCGATAGAACGTCGACTTCTCGCGACTGACGCGTTTGGAAGAGCAAGAGAGGACAAAGCGGATAAGAAAGACAGGAAGAGCTTCTTTATGCTCGACCCGTTTCCATCTCTGCTCATTTTCTTTCCTTTTTCGGTTGAACAAAAAACTCCCCCACAGAGGCACGGTTTGTTTTAATCTTAGAATCCGTGCTTTTCCCTTCCTTTTCGTTTCTTTTCTTCTCCTTTCTTCCTCTTTCCTTTTCTTCCCTGTTTTCGGGGGAAATGGAATCTGGGTGAAGCTGCAGGTTTGATTTCTTGGTTCGGGTATTTTTAATTCCTATACGGTTCTCGAATTCCCCGCGTCTCCAGCTCTTCCTAGTTTCAGTCGAAGAAAAGATTCTTAATGTTCTAAAGAAGGTGCGTTACCACGAATAAAATTGAGACGAAATTGAAGAAATTCTTCCAACGATGGATTTTCAAAAATATTTTATAACTCGCTGGCAAAATTCCTATTGTTTCTTTCGCAGATCAAATCGATCCACATCTAAGATCTAGTTACCAGTTGTCAAATTAATTTCCAAAGAATTTTCAATCTTCATATCGTTACGATCTTCTATCTCAAAATAAAACTAGCCTCAGAGATCCCACAAAAAAAAAGAGCGAAATACTTTCAAATATCGATTCTTTGCTTTTTTCTGAAACTTTAGCGCTCATTCCATTCTCAATCATATACTCGACAGTTGTATCCATCACCGCCAGTCGCGATAATTTCAACTCGGATCCCTCTCCACTCTGCGTTGTTGTGCCGTTTCGTGCAATCACGATCCGCGTTTCAACACGTCGGGGGTGGCGGTGTCTCGTCTATGGAGAAGTAATTGCGAGCCGTATTGTTTTTCGGTCCTGTGCTATTCGCCCGCGGCCGCGGGGGTAGCCGGGGGACGATTAACAAAGCTAGAAAACAATGAGTCAGTGGGAAAACAATGCCGCCACAATGGCACGGCTCGTTCGCTGCCGTTCCACCCCCGCTGATTACAAGTTCCGCGCCAAGCCCCCGCACTTTTCCATTATTCAACGAAAAACAGAGGTGGAAAAAATACCGCTAGCTACTGGAGAAATCACTGGAAAGTGACCGAGCACGGGACTTGTCCTTTTCAATATGAAACATCCATCGGGGTAGTTCTCTTGGATGTCGTCGAAGGATCGACGATTCTACGATTCTTCGTCGTTCTTCGACGATCGAAACAAGGGTTGTTATCTTTGTTTATCGCCTTTCTGTGTTTCTTGCAGCAGATCTATGGATCATTGTTCATTTTAGCCTTCTTCTTTAATTTGGTGTACAGGTATTTAAGATCAATCAATGGGCGTATTTAAGATGAAAATATCGATATTTTCGTAAATATTTGATTATTGTAGATAGTTATATCGTCCGTCGATTTAAATAATTACAATTCACTTTTGAGGTAGTTCCATATAGCGAATTGTAATATAGATATACTTGGATAGATAGCGAATTGAAATTTAGCTGTGAGCAATAAACTAGGATAAAAAGAGAATGTATCAAGCGTGTAACATACACAAATAGTTTGTAACAGCCATAAGCCTCGATCGAATAAACGAATACAACGGGATACGATGCAACGATAGTTGATTTTCTAATTGAAACAAATGGAAAATAAAATACCGAACAGCATATTGCTTCCATTATCTTTCGATCTATATGACGAAGAGAAAACGTTGCTTGTATTGGATCTCGGTTTAAAGAAACAGCCACTAAGAGGGAATATCTGGCGAAGAAATTAATTTGATACGTAAACCACTTAATAATACCGAACAATATCGAGGAAAAGAAAAATGTCGACGCAGAAAGAAATTGCCATCTTCTCGTCTCAAGTTTCGCCATACTCAAAGCGAGGTAAATTAATTAGATTCAACGGTTCATGAAACTTTCTCCGGCGGAGAGTACACCGGGGACCAATCGATCCTGCGTTAAAAGAGACGCTCGACCTGGTCTCGATTCACCGTTTTCCTCATTGCGATTCTTATCACCGTTCGAGTCGTTACTCCATCTTGACCCGATACTCAATTTTTTCACGAGTTTTTATCTATTCTTGATCTCGTTCCGCTGAGCATAAAGCCAGCGATATGAAAGGCTTGACCCTGCTTCCATACAGGCTTTATCACGAGGAAACCTCGATTCCATCTTGATACAATTCCAAGAGGATCTTGACCTCGCTGCTTTCGCCTCTTTGGCCCCTTCCTCTAGTTTAGTCTAGTCTAGTCTCGAGTTCCAGCTTCAGCTCCAGCTCTTTCTCGAGTGATCTTTCGTTCGTCTTGACACGGTCTCCAAAAGTAATTCGAAAGTTATTACTTTTGGTAGATGCAATTAAGCGATCTCTGTCCAACGTCTGATAGGAGATCTTAACGATCTCGTTAAAAAAGTGGAAGTTGTCAGAGGGAAAATTATCGTTTAAATTATAAAAGAAGCAGTTTGGACGACTCTTTGTACGGCGATAAACTGTTTATATAGCGATTAACCCTTAAATTTTAATTGTGAATATCAATCGGCAACTTCAATTTATTCTCAGCATACTAGGACTTGCAAGTTTTTAATTGTCACATTTGGAATGCTACAACGACGTGTAAATAATAATATTAAAGTCATTCAAAACGATCTTTATTCATCTCAGGAATAATATAATCTTCATTAAAATATTTATATTTTAACACTTTACCGACCGTTAACGGTTCAACGGCATACGCACGTCCGACCGGCAGCTGAGGCGCAAATTCTCCCTGACGCCGGCTCTGTTTCGGTTTAGACTCTCCAATACCATTCTTTTCGTTCATCACGAACGGTAGGTAAGTTTTTCCAATTGGTATAAAACTGTGGAAGCTTACAAAGCAACTGAGCAAGATACCTTAGTATTAAATAACAAATTACTGCTTAAATAATGAGAAAGATTGTCGACGATAAAAAACCGATTAATCGGCTATCGGTCGGTAACCGCCGGCGACAAGAAACCGATTAATCGGCTATCGGTCGGTAACCGCCGGCGACAAGGAACCGATTAATCGTCTATCGGTCGGTAACCGCCGGCGACAAGAAACCGATTAATCGGCTATCGGTCGGTAAGGTGTTAAATATAATTAAGTAATGTGTGGAATTTTTTGAGCGCCGCACATCGGTGGTGCTTGAGAGACACACTCGAAGCGTTAAGGGTTCGTTTCAATGAAAAGAATTCATTGATTCATAAATTCTTTCCAAAAGAATTCGTAAATTCTAATAAATACGAATACTTGCATAAACATGAAAAAGATGTTCAACTAACAATGCGTTCTTCGCTTTGATGAACCAGTATCTTCATAACACTCTTAGTCGTCTCGTAATGTGCAAGAAATTCTAAATTAAACGCATCGATGCCTCTGATAATTAACACGTTCCTTAAATCAATCAAATAATCCTATAGCTGGATAAATATTGCTGGATAACATTAAAGAACTATTATCTTAATAGAGAAGATAATTTTCCAAGAATCAGTAAAGAGTCTATACTTGCAGAGTATCTAAGCGTATACGAAATCAGCGTGGCGACGTCGAACACCAGGCATTGACACGATTTTCCATTTGGGACCCAGTCGCCTCGACTTCTATTCTTCTTCGCGTGTCAGATAAGACCCATGCACGGCTCGTCGCGATTGTTCCTGT